TCTTTGTTTTTTTAATCTCCTTTCTAGCCCTCTCTTTCTGATGTCTTAGCTGTCTCAAATTTATAAAAATTTGAGGATATTATTTTCTTCCTTTTAGGTTCCCCCATTTTGTCTTAGGTTTTGGCTATCTCTGTGAAGTCAGTTTTCGCAAGTGCATTCATTTTCAAGCTTCCTAAAATATCTTGTCATCACTCATCTGTCACTCTTATTCCCCATCCTTTTCATCTTCCTGTGTGTTAACGTCATTTCATTCCTTATTCAGTTTATTTCTTTGTTTTAGTGGCTTTAAGGAGGAAGTACAGACAAATAGTAAGTTCAAGAGGTCAGGTTTGCCAGGACATTCTTTTTTTCTTTAAACAAGCAAGAAAGCAGATTGCTCATGAAACATCACAGGTGCTCCATTTGTAAATCGAATAAAATTTTTTTTCCCAAGCACAACTTTTGTTAACAAAGAAACTGCTTGCCATTTGAAATTTCAAAGTCCTGTGAAATTTCCAAAAACAACTGAAAAAAACATGAATTTAGTCTTTGATCATGTGAACCAAGATAGAGCAAACAAAAACTAGATGCCAAGAGACATCATTTGTTTCATCTGAACTCATACTAAAAGAAGAAAGATGCAATTCTGAATTATTTTATAAATTTTCTCAAAAATATTAGAAGAAATGTGGGCAATTTATAATGGATGGCACCATTTTCCAAGTCCATTAAGACTTGATATAAACAGCTAAATAGCCATAATCATACAGGATACAATAAAACACACACACTGTTATTTCAACAAATCTAGATATTATAATTTTGCAAAATGATTTTCCAAGCTACTTGGTGATATATTCTTGCAATTTGTGACACCCAAAATCTCTGAAATGAAACAGCACCTTATAATTAAAAACAAATTATATCTTCCACAAAGTTTGTTTTCAGGAAAAGAAGTAAATTTGATTTGTTTATACCTGTTATGGATCCCCTGATAGCCATCACAAAGTCACATCACAGAGGAATCAAGATCATGACTTCAGGTTAAAAGCCTCTGTCACTTAAAATATAGTTATTTAATTCATAAGTAAAATATAACTCTTACTAAAAAGTTCAAATAATATAAACTTACATATAGGGAAATTTATAGCTCACCTTTTATTCTACTTAAATTCTATGGTTCTTTTCCATAATTGATTATTTTTAACAAATTGTGGGCATCCTTCTGAACTTCTTGTATGGAATTAGATATATGTGTATTTTTTTATATTTTATTTTATTTTTTCAGTTAAGAGAACAATGTCTGTTTTTTGTAACGAGTATAATTGCTCTAGTGTTGTGTTAGTTCTTGCTGCACAACATGAATCAGCCGTATGTATACGCATCTCCCTTCCCTCCTGAGCCTCCACCCCATCCCCCACCCCACCCCTCTCGGTCACCACAGCGCATGGAGCTGAGCTCCCTATGCTATGCAGCGGCTTCCCACTAGCTGCTTACTTTATACATGTATATAGTCAGTGTACATATGTCAACACTGCTTTCCCAGTTTGTCCAGCTCCCCCCAGATATAGGTATGTTTTTATATACACTGTTATGCTTAAATATATAGAATGTTTTAAACAAAACTAAGCATGAAACATTTCTAACCTTAAGGATATTTTGAAGGCATTTTCTTATTAATACATTTAGGTCTAGATCCTGAAGAGTATTTCATGATTTGGGGCTGTAATTTTGTTCTGCCTTGCTCTCATTAGTGAATATATAGGATCTTTTGTTGCTATTTCAGTGGTGTAGTGTGTATCTTTGTAAATGTGTCTTTTTGTACACATGAACACATAAATAACATAAATTCCTAGAAGCAGAATTGTTGGGTTGAAGGATAAATGTATTTTACATTTTTATATAACCCAACAAATCATTTTCTGAAAATTAATATCAAGTCATCTGCCTACAAAAGGGTATTAGACAGCACTAAATATTACATCTCATTAATTTCTGCCAATGTAATTATAACAAGTTCTCATTTCTTATTTGGCATTTTTTCTTACACCAATGTTATAATTCCTGATTTAACTGTCAAGCATAATTTAGAAAATTAAAGAAGAAAAGTTATTATATTTGCTCATATTTCTGATGATAGTTTCCTTTCTTCTTTCTTGATGCTTCAGTGTTTCTTCTCTTATTGGTTCCTTTCTGTTTAGAAAACTTCCTTTAGCTATACTTTCAGGGGAAGTCTGCCCACCCATCTGCTGCTAAGTCGCTTCAGTCATGTCGTGTCCCACTCTCTTTGCAATGCTATGGACTGTGGCACATCAGGCTCCTCTGTCCATGGGATTCTCCAGGCCAGAATTCTGGAGTGGGTTGAAGTGCCTTCCTCCAACGGATCTTCCCAACCCAGAGATCAAACTAGCCTCTCTTACATCTCTGGCGCTGACAGATGGGTTCTTGACCACTAGTGCCATGAGGAGGAGAAGGCAATGACAATCCACTCAGCCTGGTGGGCTGAGGTCTATGGGGTCACACAGAGTCGGACATGACTGACATGACTTAGCAGCAGCAGCAGCGCCATGAGGTCTATTTGTGACAAATTCTCTTAAGTTTCCTTTATCCAAGAACGTCTCAATTTCCCCTTCATTCCTAAAGGATATTTTCACCAGGTGAAAGTGAAAGTGTTAGTCACTCAGTCATGTCCAACTCTGTGACACCAGGCTCCTCTGTCCATGGAATTCTCCAGGCAAGAATACTGATGTGGGCTGCCGTTTCCTTCTCCAGGGGATCTTCCTGATGCCAGGATAGAACCCAGCTGTCCCACATTGCAGACAGACTCTTTACTGGCTGAGTCGCCAGGGAAGCCCTTCACCAGGTACAAAGGTCCATATAGTCAAATTTATTAATTTTCCAGTAGCTATGTATGGGTGTGAGAGTTGGAGCATGGCGAAGACTGAGCACTGAAAAGCTGATGCCTTTGAACTGTGGTGCTGAAGAAGACTCTTAGAGTCCCTTGGACAGCAAGGAGATCCAACCAGTCAATCCTAAAGGAAATCAACCCTGAATATTCACTGGAAGGACCGATGGTGAAGCTGAAGTTCCAATACTTTGACAACCTGATGCGAGGAGCTGACTCACTGGAAAAGACCCTGGTGAAAGGAAAGACTGAGGGCAGGAGAAGAGGGTGGCAGAGGATGAGATGGTTGGATGGCATCATCAACTCAATGGGCAGGAGTCTGAGCAAACTCCAGGAGAAAAGGAAGCCTAGTGTGCTGCTACGGTCCATGGGCTCGTCAAGAGTCAGACACAGCTGAGTGGCTGAACAAGATTCCAGGGATAACAGTTCCTTTCTTTCAGCACTTGAAAAGTGCATGTCTTCTTTTTGGTTTCTATGATTTCTTATCAGAAATTAGTTATCATTTCAATTGTTTTCCCCTACACGTAAGGTTTTGTTGCTCTCAATATTATCTGTATTTTCACTTAGTTTTCAGAAGTTTGCGTGTGATGTGATTTGATATTAATATCTTTGGGATTTAGGCAGTATCTTGAATTTGTAGATCAATGCCTTTTGCAAAATATATACATTTCAGCCATTAATTCCTTTAATATTTTTTGTAGCTTTATACCTTATTCTCTGTCTCCATCTGAGACTCCAATGACACGAATGTTAGATCATTTGTTATACTGCCACAGGTGCCTGAGGCTCTGTCCTCCACTGCCCCCCAATCTATCATTTCTCTGTTGTTTAGAATGTGTGATTTTATTATTCTTAGAGTTCACTGGTTCTTTCCTCTTTTCACATGGAATAGAATATGAAACTCATATATATTGGGGTAAGGAATTAGCATGATTTACAAAATTACTTTGTATAAAAATGTTTTCAAAATCACTAAGGTAGTAAGATTAAATTTTCATTCCTGTTATTTCTATTTTATATTATTTCATGGAAAAAATAACAACTGTCCTTGATATTGGGCAGATGAACTCAAAATCAAATATACCCATTCCTGGTGAGAAGAAAAGTCAAAAAATAGAGATAAAAATCTAAGGAATTAACTTTCAGGCTATAGATCCAATGCCTACTTTACCTTGATACTTTTAAAATATGTTACTGGTGATACACATATTTTTGAAGCAATTACCTATTGCTATAAATAGAGTATATTATCTCTTCTAAGAAATATGATATGAATTCTGATCCTAACCTTCTGTTCTTTTTCAAAAAAAATAACTAAGTGACTAAAAATAATTATGGAAAATCAAGATAAATTAAGAGAAAATTAAGATAAATTAAGAAAATTGAAATAAATTAAGATAAAATTAAAATAAATAAGACAGTCATTTTATTTTTTTCAGATGGAGCACAATTCTTCAAGTAGATTAGTGTAAGTACCTATTTACTGAACTTATACCTATTTGATATTAGGTATAAATAGCAAAGCTGAATTTGAATGAGTTCCAAAGTTCAACTGTCAAGAAATGTTACTATTAGTGTTTATATTTTGATATTATTGCTATGTTTTGGTATTAGCTTTGAAAGGCTATATGGTCTTCTGAGAAATGTATAGTAAATAACTAAAATGTAAATTAGACCTTTTTCTAAAGATTGACCACAGAAATTCAAGGACATCTTTAAAAACTACATACACCTGATAAATAATTTATGGGAAATGGATCCCAGAGAAGCAAACCTAAATATTACCTCATGTATAAATATTTAAAGGAAGTATGCATACATAAAAATGTAATCACAGCATATGATTCAAACTATATTCAATTTACCTTTAAGCCACCCACCAATTTGGCTGATGTAAGAACCTGGGCCATTTATTTTAAAAAGTGGATTTCCAAGAATTACTCATATAGTTCCTGGATCTGGAACTTGGTGTCTCAATGTTGATTAAATATATTTGGGAAATGGTATATCATAGGAACTTAAGTGGAACAATGAAAGCACTTACTCAAACATTCAAAACACTCCCTAAAAGCTAAAAAACAAACAAACCACTACTCTGTTTCACTGAAATGCTCACCTTATTGAATAAAGAACATTCCCATTCTTGAAAATTCTTAACAATTTGTTGTCTGTAGTCACTTCATGAAAGTTGGCTCCCTTTTCATTGGCAAAGAACAAATCAGGTTTCCAAATGGAATCCAACATGGAAGGATCTAGGTCCAAGGAGTCATCAGGGTATTCACTATATGCAAGACGCGGGTCATTCCATTTCTGACGAAGAAAAATATTCACTCTGTAATCCTGTGACAGAGGAAAGACAGAGGGGGAAAGGCTTGTTTTTAAAAGCTTAGAATTGTATGTGTTAGTCTTTCAGCTTCTCTGAATTATAGCAAAAACTGCTGATATCCATGTGAGATTTCCATACCCCTCAATCCTTAGTCGTTACCACCAAGAGTCTCTACTTCTGAGGCTTTGCCAATGTTTCTACATGCCTTCAAAGAAAAGGTCACAGAAGACCATACTTTTATCATGCTTATATTTTGCTGTGCCATTCAAATTTTACTCTCTTGAATAAAATACTGAATTGCTATTGGACACTCAGAATAAAATATTTTAGAATCACTTCTTTTGTAGGTATCCATTAGCATCCAGAATGCATTTAGTAAAATTTTCTTGAAAGCTGCTTATTTTGTGAAAATAAACATATGCACTTTTTACAATAAAGCACCATTTTCTCATATTTAATATTTCACAAAGGCTCTATGAAACTGGTGAAGTGGTAAAAATAAAAGGTGGTTTTGGAATAATAAAGGAAAGCTATTGCCAGTAATCCTTTAAGATTTGGCTTATGAGATTTCCCAATTAGATCTTTTATAGTTATTAATGAAAGAAAAGTCAAAGATTCCAATCAAATTCTTGCTTACAGTTTCCAGACTAAGGTTCAGTTCAGTTCAGTCGCTCACTCATGTCTAACTCTTTGTGACCCCATGAACCACAGCACCCCAGGCCTCCCTGTCTATCACCAACTCCCAGAGTTTACTCGAACTCATGTCCATTGAATCAGTGATGCCATCCAACCATCTTATCCTCTGTCATCCCCTTCTCCTGCCCTCAATCTTTCCCAGCATCAAGGTCTTTTCAAATGAGCCAGTTCTTCACATCAGGTAGCTGAAGTATCGGAGTTTCAGCTTCAACATCAGTCCTTCCAATGAACACCCAGGACTGATCTCCTTTAGGATGGACTGGTTGGATCTCCTTGCAGCCCAAGGGACTCTCAAGAGTCTCCTCCAACACCACAAATTCAAAAGCATCAATTCTTCAGCACTCAGCTTTCTTTATAGTCCAACTCTCACACCCATACATGACCACTGGGAAAACCATAGCCTTGACTAAGTTATAGAGTGACAAAGATCAACAACCATGGGTTTGTGTTATATTTGTACACAGTATGTAAGCACTATCTGTGACTATAAAATTTTGAAATGAGCAAATAAACATGCAGACTTAGTACAAGCATAAGTAAAATGAACATTTTTAAGAAAGCTTAATTTCCATGGAAAATAGCTAAGGCTGGAGATATTCAGAGAAACTGAATATCTGTTTTCATCTATTTTATCATTCTTTAAACACCAAATTACCAGTCACCAGAATTGAGTAACCAAACAACCAGAAAAAATGATTCCATAATATTAGACCCAAAGATTGGTTATCTTGCAATGAGGTCAAATTCAGAGTTTGAAGTGAACGTTACAAATATATATGTTCCCTTGATCATTATATTTGCAATGGGACTCTTATATTCTAACTGGAACTGAGGTTACATACCAGATAGTACTTTTCTGCTTTCCAGTTGCCCCGTGTATCTTCCAAAGTGACAACAGAACAGAGATCACTTCAACTTTCTACCACAAAACTCATATTGATGTGGAAATCTCACAAGCCACAAGGATAGGTGATCCTCCCCTAGCATAGGGCTCAGAAGTACAGTTTCATGGCTGGTGGTCAGTTCCCATATCCCTCACTGTCCTGTAATCTGTGCCTCCACCCTAACTGCCACCAAACACATCAGTGATGGCACTAGAGTCAGTTTGCCTCTGCCTGACCTCTAGGGAAAGACTAAAACAAGACAATTTATGATGACATCTGCCAGGAAAAATAATTGATTATTCCTTTAAGACTGATTCTTAAGACTTTTTTTTAAAAGCTGACATATTTTTATATTGTAACTAATGTATTGATGGAGTACTCTGCAATGCTGAGAACTTTCAAGCTGCAGTGTATGTGATAAGGCGGCCCTAGTGGTAAAGAACCCACCTGCCAATGCAGGAGACTTAAGAAACACAGGTTTAATCCCTGGGTTGAGAAGATTCCCCTAGAGAAGGGCAAGGCAACCCACTTTAGTATTCTTGCCTGGAGAATCCCATGGACAGAGGATCCTGGAGGACTCCATGGGATTGCACAGAATCAGACATGACTGAAGCAACTTAGCCTGCCCATATGTGATAAAATTTGGTTGATTCTCCTCATCTTTACATGATTGATTCAGTGATAAATTTGATACATACAATAGCAGATTCTTCCAGAAACACTTTTTGCTCCAAGAATGAGCTGGGGAAAAGGACATCAAGTAGCCTTCAGTTTGTTTGTAACTCACACAAGGAAAACATCAACTGTCATCTGTCACCACAGCCAAATGTTTTCCTATATCAAGTGTGCTCCTTCTGTGAGTAACCAGAACCATCTTTGTTTACTAACATGTCTAGGCCTATGGTTTAGTGCCAGAATCCAAAGCATAACTGAAAAATGACCATTTCCTGAAAACCCAGAAACTTAGGTTTTAACAGTCCACACAGTTTAGGTTTTGACCTGCCTGCAACTGAACGTTGTGATGGGAAGCTTCCCTATCAAACAATCAACTTCAGCTTTTTGAAAATAAACTTTTAAGCCCAACTCCTCAAGCCAATGTATCCCATCTATGCTCAGCAACCTATTATATTAATTATTTTTGAATTCTGAAAGGAAGTGAAAGTGTAGTCTCTCAGTCATGTCTAACTCTTTGCAACCCCATGAACTGTAGCCTGCCAGCTCCTCTTGCCCATGGAATTCTCCAGGCAGGAATACTGGAGTGGATTGTGATTCCCTTCTCCAGAGGATCTTCCCAACCCAGGGGTCGAACCCAGGTCTCCCACATTGCAGGTAGATTCTTTATTGTCTGAGCCACCAGAGGATCCCTTTTGAATCCTGATCATATGTGAAAATGTGCAAAGAAAAGGGTATAAAACAACATATTCAAATAATACCACTCTAAAAGAAGAGTAACTCAACTTTTTATCCATGTAACTCAACTTGAAATAAATTGTTTGTAACAAAAGATCATAGATCAAGGAAGGAAACAGCTTTGCAAAACAGAGACCAATAAATGTGTATGCGGCCTATGGAGGAAAAAAAAGACGTTAAAATGGACTTACTAAAGTCAGTTTAAAAATTCAGTCATTCCTTGGATACACTTAAAGACTAAGTGTCTTTGTTTGTTTTGGGTGGTTTTCTGTTTTATTTATTTATTTTTATTAACAATTTTGTGTTAGTTTCAGGTGTGTTTTATTAATAGGATTTTCCCTGTTCTCCCGGCTCTGCTTCTATAAGGGAGAAAATGTAGAAAGGTCATATGTGAGTTTAAAAAAAATGAGATAATACATCATAGCAAAATCAATATTTTTATCTCACATTTCTAAAATCTACCCATTTATTAAATTTATTCCTAAGTCTTATAAGGCAGCTGAATTGACATTTACATGCCTGGAATCATATTTTAGGACAGAGACATTAATGATTCTTTTCCCCTAGAAATGTCTTTTGTAGTAATATATATATATACTTGCAAACCCTTCAGAAGTTAATTTTATTTTTTCATCATTTTGCATGTTATACAATTAATAAGTTGTTTCTAAATGTTATACCAGTGTATTAATCTTACACAACAGTGATAGAAGCATAATCATTATTTCATAAATATATAAAGACTAATTTTGACATTTTGGAGTTCAAGTTTATTATTATTATTAGAATAGAGTGTATCATGTTATTCTAACTACTTTAAATTAATTGTGCAGGAAAACATTCTGTTGATCAAGTAAAATTATATACCACATTTGGATTTGAAAGTAAGCATTCATTAAAATGTACTTTTAATTCCCTATGTATGTCACATAGTAAATAATTACAGAACCACACTACACTTTCTCTCCTAGTATTTGAAACTTTACATTACAAGATACAAGTAAATAGTAATTCTATTAGGTAAATATTTTAATGATTAATACACTAGGCTCAGAAGTAAATCTTCTTGGTATCGAATGTCAGCTGTCCCAGCAAATAGCTCTCTTTTTCTAAATTAATTTTTATTGGAGTATGATTGCTTTACAGTGTTGTTAGTTTCTACTGCACAGCAAAGAGAATCAACTATAAATATACATGTATCCCCTCTTTTTTCTATTTCCTTCCCATTTCAGTCACAACAAAGCACTGAGTTCCCTGAGCTACACACTAGGTTCTCATTAATTACCTATTTTATACACAGCAGTGTATATATGTCAATCCCAGTCTCCCAATTCATGCCACCCACCTCTTCCCCTTGGTGTCCATATGTTTATTCTCTACATCTGTGTCTCCATTTCTGTTTTGCAAATAAGATCATCTATACCATTTTTCTATATTCCACATATATGTGATATTTGTTTCATATAAAATATTTGTTTTTACTTTCTGACTTACTTCACTCTCTATAACAGTCTCAAGGTCCAGCCATGTCTCTACAAATGATAATGTAGTACATATATACAATGGAATATTACTCAGCCATACAAAGGAATGAAATGTAGTGAATAGCTTTCTATTCTCTCTGGACCTTGTTTGATCAGCGGTGAGACAGGGATGATTATAACACCACTTCCCCTGATAGGGCTCTTGTGAGTACTGGATTGATCTACGTCACGTACTTGGAACCACATTCACTAAATGTTCGACTCTCAAAATTAACAGCCATAGTAAATAGAAATTTTCTTGTATTTTCTGTCTAAATTAGTTTTGAAGTACTAGTGGCATTTTTATTTGAATCTGGGGTAACTGAATTTGCCATGGAAGAACATAGGATGGATAATTGTAATGCTGAAATCTGGTGAATAATATCTTTGAAAATTTGCAAGACTATTATGATAAATATCATTAACTTTTGTATTTCAACATTTCTGTATTTTTATATTTTCTGTGTTTATTCTATTGCCCCTCCTCCCCCATTTATATAT